CTCTCTCTCTCTCTCTCTCTCTCTCTCTCTCTCTCTCTCTCTCTCTCTCTAAAAAAACATTACAAAATTTGTATTAAATGTTGGTTGAAGAATGAAAATGAGTGTGAAAATTAATACTGTAATTATTCTGTAATGCTAAAAATGTTTCAAAAAAAAAAATTATAAAAAAAAAAGAACTTCCTGAAGTCAAAGTTCGTACAACTAGGACCAGCTCCTAAGCCATTTTCATGTACTTACAATATGATCAGCACTGAAGACTTTTGTCATGCAATGATGTCCTTCATTGACTGTAGTTTTAACATTTCGGTTTAATATCATACATCATGCAGGGTATGTTAACGAATTCGACCGACCGTTTGTCTTTGAATGCCCTGGGGAAGGGTTCATCAATGGCATAAGAAGTTTCCATAGCAACCGTCACGAGGACAGAAAATGGGCCTTTCAATGTTGTGAAATGCAAGGTAAATATTGACTGAAATTGTATACAAATCATTTTGACTCATCCTATCAACCGATTGCAACATATAGACAATATTTTTTCCCTCTTATATCTGTTGACTGGACTAATGGTACAAGCATTGGAAGAAAACATGTCCTTCCTTATATTCATATATTCAAATGGAAATGTAATTGTCGAAGTGGTTGGTATGAACCGACAACTTCGAAAACCATGGTTGTAACAAAATGATGATACTATTAATTTAATGTGGTATTGATTTGTTAGATCTCTTTAAACGCAATTGTCGAAACACTGGATTTGTGAACAGCTACGACGGTGGCTTGAGTTACACAACAGCACACGCTTACCAGAACTTCCACGGATGGACCAGTATCCATGACAACCACCATGAGTATGTAGAACACTGTTCTAGATAACCAATATACAATTTTTCCCCAAATCTTCTTGAAGAAAAAACAAATAAGTCATTTCATGCATGTGATTAAGAAGAACATTTTCATACCATTCTGCCTATTAAAATGACTGTCCTAATAATAGTAATAGCAGAGACGGATTTTCAAAATATTACAGAGTTATCTATCTTCGTTGGAAATCTTGTTTGAGGACAAATAGAAAATAATGGGACAATAAATAGTGAAAATCATGACCCAAACGCTCATGGACTTTTTTAATGATATTTTACATTGTTTGTTAATTTCAAAAAGACAACTTTGCGAAAGAAAATGCATTATTGGAATAATGTTCATAATCGGATATACTAACTTCATCCAACGCATTTAAATGGCAATTTTGTACGACAGCAGATCGAAAGGACAGTTACAGCAAAATATGTGTTATGTGCACAAGTTAACAAAACGATGGCTTTTATATATGTCAAAATACTAGTATATGATCTAGAATAAATACCACATCTCAATTACTTATGAAACAATCTTCTCTTTTTCAGGGATCGATTATTTAGTTTTCAAGTGTGCAATTATGAAGAGTGAGAAGCCTTCAGGCTCTAACCTATTACACGGCAATGATTTGTCAGAACTTTGAAAATATAAAAGGATATATCTAATGGATTTGGTTGGGTTATCATTTTTTTAAATCTGTATTGAACAGTGTGTATCTTACTGGTCATGCATATACTTACATGATTTAGAGTCACTGACGATATTTTGAATACTAAATAGATAATTTCCTTAAAATATCCCAATCTTCGATTTAAACCAATAGGTTTAGATATTGTTTTTGCCGCAAACATCGTTCACAAGGTAACAAAGGACCAATAGATGTAATACATCCCACCAAATGAACATGAACATTATATTATCTGATTATTTAACTGATTTCTAAGCCAATATTCATAAGATGCATCATATTCTTTAAAAGATAATTTCTCCTTTACATTATAAGTTATATAATTTTGTCAAAAAGATGTGAAACATGGCGTTTAATGAAGAAAATACTGAAGTGTTAACAAAACCGTTATTCGAACTGAATTCGATAAAAGTAGGGCATACTATATGCTTCATCGGCGAGATCCGCCATGTAAATCTAGGTCAAGTCTAATAATAGCATGTCCCCTGGTGAGAACTTGTGTAGCGACGACAACACATCGAGCACACTTATATGACCGTGATCATCTACATCGCCCTTCATATCATAGAAAAATAGAACATCTCTCAATAAGATTGCGAATATGACAATAAAGTTGTCTGTAATTTTTACAATAGTCTTTATCAACCTGTATCTCTCGAAACCTTGCGTTGTAAGTTTGCCTTTCGGCAGTAGAGATTTATCACGAAAATCATGCCATTTACTTTGACATGAGCGAGCCTTGAATATTGAATTGACTGTTAAAGGCTGTTTTGGGGGAAAGCATGGATGTAACTATCAAGAAAAATAAAGATCGTGATTAGAAAATTAAAACTGTCGCGATTATTATACAGTTGAGAAGTTACTCGTCCCTTATTTGTCACGTTTTAAGTAAATACGATTGAGGTAAGCAGCTGATGTAAACGAGTCAGTCTGTAGAGTCATTAATTTCAAGTTCATGAAAGGTTAGATAAGATAAATGTGGTTAAATTTGAATTTGAAGGATCAAGCAAAGGTTTTGCTATCAGTCCGGTTACGCTTGTAATCATTTCAATCTACTTTGAGAACAAAACGAACTCTATCAGGAGTGGGGCAAAGTTAATACCCATGTGAATACCAACAGTCTGCTGAAAAGATTGCCACTAAATTTAAACAAATTCCCAACTAGGAATTCAATCATTTTCACGATTTGATTACACAAGATATCTTATATATATTTGATGAAACATCTCATATCTCACATATTTTTGTTTATAAATATCCCGTATAGTAGAATATTATTTTTAAAATGTTAATTGTTGAAACTAGAACTGTAAGCTTAAGGCTAATTAATACATCCGTTCCCAAGACTAAAGGCTAACTAAGGCAAACTATTGCAAACAATTCTATACTTATGATGCTTTGTTAATATTTCTTATTTCGAGCCTCCATAGGTTAAAGATTAATTTCAACATGAAACGTGCGAAGAGTGTGTTCATATTTCGTAATCACATCCCTTATCTCAATATAAACAATCCAGAAGAACAGCAATCCTAGATCGGCGCCATATTGACAATTATGAAATTTAACCACCTTTTTTTCCCAAATTTTTGGTAATAATTAAGAATATTGCGAAATTTTGAAAGAGTAATGAGCGTACTTTCATACAAATGGTTGCGTCGACCTACAGTTTAGTCCTGGCTGTTCATGTCCTGGAAACAATCGGGAACCGTCGGCACTTTTCGTAGACGAGAAAATACCACTCATCACATCTCGGCAGTTTCTGTACCTACATCATATTGATGAAGGGTACCGGAATCAGCCGAGGTCAGACGAATGGAGAACATACTCGTTTACTAAAAGTGCCGACGATTCCCGATTGATCCTCAAAAATGTGAGTTATATATCATAAAATTGTGATTTGTCGTTGCATACTGTGCGTCGTTTAGAAAACTGTATTTTAAACCAAAGGGGTGACAACTCTTCCAGTTTTCACGGTAATTTGCCAACATTGTGCTCCGAGTTTTACAATATTGGATATGTAGTGCTAATAAATACTAACGACTTCCGATGCTGTGGTTGTTGGATCATGCTGGTATATATTAATTAGTAAAAACAGTTAAATAGTTCAAGAAATTAAAGGTACAGTGTCAAAGGAAATATTTGTAAAAATCGCGGCAGGTATAAATGATATTTTATATTAATCCTTTACTGTCTCTTCTCTCCCTCAGAATATGACGTTATTACCAAATCGTTGACTTTTAAACTTGCGGTTAAATATATATGTTTGAATGCTTTGGAACAATGATTGGGTGACAATAATGCAACATGTAAGGAAATTGAACGGAATATTCTGAACGACCAAATTAATGCCATGAGCAAACATATTTGAAGAATAAATTCAAGTTTGCAGTATCCGTTCCCTCGTGGTTGTCGGACTCTTAGTAAGTCATTTTCATAAAAGGATTTGATGTTCAACAGCTTTGCTGCATTTTCTTGTTAGCTTTGCCTACAGTTCGGTTTATTTCTGGGCCACCTGTACCGTTTGAACCGGGATACGCGGATGCGACTCTAGTGTCGTACTCCTATATCTTCGGAAATTTAAAATCCTTCACCATGCATGCACAATGTTCTATATACACACTGTACACTGTACAAATATGAGTGCAATACAGTTTCACTGTAGTTCAGGTATGTACGTACATATTGACAGTTCTGTGGTCATTTGATTACCCCTTCAGGAGCATTCACAAAGTTAAAGTTATCAGTTCATCAGCATAATGTTCCATTGATAAGACTTATAAAGCTCTGTGGTATTTACTTTAATAAAAGCACGTCATATTTTGTATGTGTGTAAAAAATAAACCGTTGTTTTTGTGAAGTGACTTGAATTATTAGTCGATAGCACTTAACAAATATAAAAGAGCTGTAGGTACTGTATACAATATTGTTATAGAGTAAAATATAAAATAAGGGTTTGGAGTTTAGAATAGATAATCTTTCTAGGTGGGTCTTAAAAATGTTCACCCTACAATATCTCTCAGTTAGTTGGAAGTAACACTCATTGAGAACTGTCATCTCAGCAACTTTAGGGTGGGTGCAGTCAATTATATCGAGACTTATATCAGGGTTATCAGCTATTCGTTTGATAATATCCGGTTTTGATCTAATACACACTCAGCCAGGCAGTCTTGTCGGGTTTCGAGTGCTGTCCCTCAGAGTTTGCAGGTTGGGTCCATTTCATACTGGTTGAACTTGGAACTATTGCTCTGGAATGTATACGTTCCTGTTAGTGCTCTTGCCGTCACTTCAGCTCGGTGAATATCATTTATGTTGTCGGAGAGGTTACTATATACATGGTGAACTTGTCCTACTTTCGGTGCTGCTGCGTTGACATACTTCAGCGATGGTTTAGTTACTATATCCTTACACAAATCCTCTTCTATACTGCTCGCTATAGCGTTGTAAACAAGTTCTTGTCGGAGTTTCCTTTAGTAAGTCATAGGCAGTTGGGAGACTGTATGAGTATAAATTCCTCCTTACACACACCCTGTAACCGGTGTACGGCTGGAATCGATTTTCACCGATGACAGTACTGATTTTTGCCGACAAATTCCGGATTGTAGCCGCTAGGTGTACATATTGGTTATAGATAAAATACCGCTTTCCCAGGATAAATCATAGCCGGTTGTAAAATAAACCATCCTAGTATCATATTATGGGTATTATAGTAAATATAAACTCGGTCAGAAGTGGGAGAATTCATGTAAGAGTGTAGGTCAAGGGTAACCACAGGGATCCAGTGTAAAAATAGATGGCAGAGATGAAACCTGAATTACATCCGAGTGAGTGAAAATTACTGTTTAGGGCAATTTCTTGTTATTGGATCATCTAAAATGCAAACAAATGTTGTTTTTTTTTCTTTTTTTCATAGACAAAAAAGTATACATTTTGTCGTAATACATAGTATTACAGTTACATGTGTACATAAACATAAACACATGCACTCATACTTATCATACATACATACATACATACATACATACATACATACATAACATCGTGAATACATATTTACAACATGCATACATACATACATACATACATACATACATACATACATACATACATACATACATACANATACATAGTTTACATGCATACGCACATACACATCTCAACATGCATGCACAAACAGATGTACGCACATATATATATACATACCCACACACACATGTGCATATGCACACACATACACACACATGCAGATGCGCTTGTATGCTGTAAGCATATTAGTCATTAAAGGTATACACTATACAATTTGACATTGAGATGTAATATTCTTATACAGTAAATAATTTTGCATTGTAAGATGTTTTACTTGTACAGTATATTATTTGGCATTGTGATATGTTATAGGTATAAAATAAACAATTTGGCCTGGTGATATGTTATAGTTATAAATTATACAATTTTGAATTGTGAGATGTTATACTTATACAGTAAATTTGTCATTTTGATACATGATACTTGAACAGTACACAATTTGGCTTTGTGATGTATATGTTATAGTTATCTAGTATACAATTTGGCATTGTAATACATTATAGGTACATGTATACAGTATAAAAACTGGAATTGTGATATATCATAGTTACAGTTCACAATTTGGAATTGTCATATGTTATACTTGTACAAGTTTACAATTTGACTTATAAACAGAGGAAAACATGCACACGTTTGTACACTGCTACACATACACATGTTTATAAACATATACTCGGTATCATATTAGGGGTATTACAGTAAATATAAACTCGGTCAGAAGTGGGAGAATTCATGTAAGAGTGTAGGTCAAGGGTAACCACAGGGATCCAGTGTAAAAATAGATGGCAGAGATGAAACCTGAATTACATCCGAGTGAGTGAAAATTACTGTTTAGGACAATTTCTTGTTATTGGATAATCTAAAATGCAAACAAATGTTAACATATATTATAAAACATCACTTCAGAAATCTATTTAGCATGGTTAAATGGCTTTAAAAATAATGATTGATCATGCATGCTTAGAATGTACGGAATGGCAGAGTGCAATACCGTGATTGGTAACGATCAGAAAACATAGGTGTACAGATTTTATGCCGATTTTTCACTCAACAGCTCGTTCCATGTTGTTTTTTCTATTTTGTTCAGGGAAATGTCATCATATAAGTGTGTGGATATTGTTTGGTAAAGAAGTATAAGTGAACCATTTGCTTGCATAGAGAAAAACTATTAATATACATTACACATCGAGCGGTAGGCATGCGTTAAGTGTATTTTGTGTTACATTGGCAATATTGATACATTTGATTGTTGAAACGATTTACATCAAAATATATGAGAATAAAATATTATGTATTATCAAAACCAGCGGTGTAAATATTTGATAGTCGATCTCCAGATAAATAACTTACCACAAGTACATGAGTACTTTTCATTTTTCTCATGCTTTCCAGACACATGTTATTTAAAGGTCTTCTTTAATGTTAAGGTATTGTCACAAATTTACTCTCACAATCGCTCATGTGGCGATTTAAGTTGGATTTATATGCGAAACCCTTACCACATTTTTGGCACATACATGACCTGATAGCACTGTGGGCGTTCATACGTCCAATGTAATGTGACATGTCTGTAAAGTTACATTTACAAATTTTGCAGTCATATTTGTCTTTCTTCAAGTCATGTACCCCTTTCTTATTAGAAAGGATACCTGTCCTGGACTTGTATTCCTGTCCACAAATTTCACAGAAAAATACTTTACAATGACTTTCTTTGTAGTTAATTAGCGTATCTTTTGATTCCATCTCCTAACCATATATTGTGCATATATGGGATGCCAAGGTTTTATGTTTTGTGTGAACATGTCTCCTAAAATTTGATTTGATTGGAGAACTGTAGCCACATGTATTACAGGTAAACAAGGTTCACCTTATGACCACCTGTGGCGCCTTCAGAGGGGATGATCCTATCTCAGACGGTTCCATAGTTGATAAACCATCGTCATATGGCAGCACGATTGTTTCCATGTTAATCTGGAAAAACAGCAATAGCTTAGGTTAGATTAAATAAATCAATACCTGTCTATGATAGAAAAAAGTATGTAAAGTAATAAGTAATATGAATATGCTCACAATGTAGGGAGGGGCGTATAAGCTGGTAACCGAGGATGAAATGTAGGTATTATGCATAAAAATGTATTTGTATTGACTAGCTGATGTATGTATTGAATAGTTTACTTTAAAAAATACGATTTAAACCGTTATTATTTTGAGAAGATGTATGGATATTGATAGAGGTTCAAATATATTACCGGTATTGTATGTATATGTATTACACATATCTTCATGGTAAATATTAAAATGCTGTATTAAAAAGTTTCAATGGTCATGACTACTAAAGGCATAACTCACAATATTTCCAAATGACTGCATATAGACTTTATTTACAAAGACAGGGTTAAAACTGCTACTGAACAACATTTACATTATAGGTGCTAGTCCGAACTTGATCGGGAAAATCGGTGCCAACCCGTATGGTCTTGCTGCAAAATGTTTTCTTTATTACTCCTTTATTGTTTTAAGACAGATTGTCATTTTTAAGCTCAAAGGTGATAAATGGTTTTAAGTTTCAAAGAAGAGTCTGGTCTCTGGTCAGTTCTCTATGATGCAAGACATCACAAACTAATCATCAGGGTTGGCTTACTTCACACTCATTCCAGGGGCTAACTGCACCTCCTTTGATGTACCAGACCAGCATTTATTGGGGGAAATCTGTACCCTATCTATGGAAAATCTGTACACCTATCGGCAAAAAACTGTAATTTTCAGCCGTATACGGGATGGTTGAATTTATATCTTGTATTGCCAGCTGTCTTATAGCTATCTCCCACTCAATGCAGCCCTCTCTCTGATCATGTTGCTTTGTAATTCTAATTTAGAATTAGGAGATAGTACGTTGCTTTGAGTGGCTATACCGGCGATTAGAAAATGAAATTTGGTTTGAACTCGAGACCAAAGTTTATACGACACATTTGGATTGACATTGACCAATTTCTAACATTTCCATGTCAGTATGCATACAAATCTGTGCTAATCGACAAAATCGGTGATTATTTGTATAGATTTGTGAAGAGTTTTGTGCAAATTCATACGACAAATGTGAAATGTTTCATTTTATTTCGGATCTAACTAGATGCCTTCATACGAATGGAACGAACGTTTCAGTAATAAATGGAGGTAAGAACAAGGAATGTTTACTTTTTAATTCATTCAACAAATGCATTTCATCGGTCGTTTCTGTTCTGTTGCCTGCTAGCCTTATCAGCGGAATTTCGCTAAAATGCGAGCTTGACGCCATATTATTTTGGTTAGAAACGGGGCGTGACTAAAGTGCGATGGGCGGAGCTTAACACGAATGATCATGATTCTATCGCAGATTACAATATGGTCCGTATCCGATTAAAACACGCGTTGCAAACGAATCGTGTTAGTTCGAGGAGTGGTATTCCCAGAAGAGCTAAGGTGATGGCATCTTCTTGGAAGACTTCCCTTCTGAGAAGTGTAATAGAATATATCACTCCTGTGTGATGTAGGCAGAGTTTTTTTTAGGTTTAGCACGAGGCTTTGTCTGTCTACATCACACAGAAGTGATTGATTATTTTTCTCCCACATTTTCATACCGTAAAAAATACCTTTACTGCGAAGTTGTATTTTTGACCCCAATTCACCGAACTATCATCAATTAAATTCATCAACAATTCTTCCCTTTTCACCATTTTTTCTAGGGCAACACAATCGCTTATTTTGAACTGTCGGAATGCTGAGCTTGCCGTGTTTTGTTTACATGTGTAAAACGTGATGATGTAATCGGTTTTGCTAAAAGTACACAGGGTCACAGGTCATGTTGAAAGAAGTGCGTTGTCTGTGACGTAATAGCGCGTGTCTTGATCGAGGTAGATCAAGACAGGTTATCTTTTCCCTACCAAAAACGGGAATGTACCTGTGAAGTGTGGGATAATGGCGCATGTTGTCAGCGACGATGACAAAAAGGAAGGTGCTTCTACGGTATGTATAGCAGTAATTATGCAAAAACAATCAAAATAAATGGACTTTAAAAGTGAATTACAGCGTCACAAGGAACGTCTTTCTCCAGACGTGTTTGGCCTTACATTTCTTCTCATACAGTATCTTGTATGGCCAGTTGTCTTATAGCTATCTCCCGCTCAATGCAGCACTCTCTCTTGTGATGATGATGCTGTGTATTACTGCTCCGAGGAGTGGTATATATCCCAGAAGAGCAAAGGTTGTGGCATGTTCCGGAAAGACTTCCCTTCTGAGAAGAGTGCAAATTGAGTTGGCCGCTGGACTTACATTATAACTGGCCGGGAGAACCAACTGAAATGGGTGCGTTCAGCAATAGAAAGGTAATTAATTCTCTATCAAATGTCATTTATTTATAACATATTGATGTATGTAAATACCCTATATTAATGTGCAAGTCTTTATATCCATACTTCAGACATTTTCTTTTTTCATTAGGAAAACAACTATTCAAATATTTGAAGGCAGGTGCAATTTAATTGAAGATATATGTTCAATTCAATTGAAGATATGTTCAATTCAATTGGAGATAGGTACAATTCAATTGAAGATAGGTACAATTCATTTAAAGATAGGTCCAAATATGACGAAGAAAAGGCGGGAAAATATAATATATGTTAACATTTGTTGGCATTTTAGATTATCCAATAACAACAAATTGCCCTAAAACAGTAATTTTCACTCACTCGGATGTTATTCAGTTTTAATCTCTGCCATCTATTTTTACACTGGACCCATGTGGTTACCATTGACCTAAACTCTTACATGTATTCTCCCACTTCTGACCGAGATTATCTTTACTATAATACCCATAATATGATACTAGGATGGTTTATTTTATATAAGTCTAGTTTTTGTAAGACAGCTCCTAGGCCTAATGTTGCCTTATGCTAACACTAGTTGTATAGCAGCACCAAGTCTGGGCCGGTAGTGAGGTAGAAAGCCGCCAACATTAACACCAGCTCCTAACTATTCTATGAATTTGGCTTGTATATATAATTTCAATGTCCTTCTAAATGTCTTAATAAAGAGACCCTAGTTCTAACGGCCGAAAATTTGGAATAAAGCTTACACTATCCTCTGTGTCGGCGTTTCCGCGCCCACTCTTTTTCGAAAAACTCAGAGGGATCTTTTTCTTCCGAGATTGGACAGTTCTAACACGGGCCAACATTTATAGTCCCATCCGACGGACTGTATGTTATTGGTTAGAGTCATGCATGTGCTGTTTTTGTTGTCCGGTCAATGTAATCCGCTCTTCATCATTCGTCACTGAAAATACAGCTGACTGTACTTTTACCAATGTCATCTTTCTTAAAAACCTCGTCTTGTCTTTCACTAATATCTGTTCATCGTTCCGACATTTATTATTTTTAGTGTATAGTGTGATTTTTANGGGGGGGGGGGGGGGGGGGGGGGGGGGGGGGGGGGGTTAGTGTTATAGTTTGGTTATAACATAGATGGGAGCTGGAGGGGTTGGAGATTTTACTTTGATGTGTATGTGCTCATGTCTAAATGCATTGTGTATATATTATGTTTTATTAGTTATAACATCGCTGTGTTATTTGTTTTATAAAATTGGTTTGAGTATTTTGATTTATTGTATATTATTAAGATTTTCCCTATTAACTGTGTTAGATAAACATATATTGATTATTAGTTCAAGATTCGCTTATCCCGTTATTCCTACCTAACTTAACCCTTTATAAATATATTTGTGTTTTAATTCTCAACTATACTTTGAGGTTTAATCATTTGTTTTTAATAGTTATTGAATTTTTTATTCAAATATTGGAACTACCCCATGTTTTGTGACAAATAATTATATCTCGTTGTATCAACCTAGATTTAATTATTCCTAAAATTCCTTACCTATCGTACTATAAGTCCAGAAGCACAACTGGCCTTCTCCTCATACCCGCGTCAACTTAACTTAAGTCACGCCGATGGGACAAGAGGACTTATTTGTATGTGTATCTTAAACAGTTCATGGAAGCAATATTATATTTGAGGAAAAGGAAAGGGAGAAACCCTTTATTTCCTTAGAAACGACTTGGGATCGCTGTGGGATAGGAGACAGTTCTTGGAACGGAACTCCCCGCCTGAGGTCGGAACAAAGACGTTGCAGCACTCCCTCGTCTATCTAGAGAGTTAAACCCTATATAAATATATTTGTGTTTTAATTCCAAGCTATACTTTGAAGTTTAATTATTTTGTTTTTAATAGTTATTGAATTTTTGATCTACCCCATGTTTTGTGACAAACAATTAAATCTAAATCTAAATCTAATTTAATTATTCCTAAAATTCCTTACCTTTCGTACTATAAGTCCAACTGGACTTATAGTACGATAGGTAAGGAATTGTACATGTATATTTTGACTTTATTTTAATTTCAGCTTTTTGAGCTCAGCTTGAGGCGTTGAGCTGAGTTTTTAGTTTGTGATACGAAATACGGACGCTGAGTTCTTGAGTTCTTGAGTTCGGACTCAAATCTCAGCTTAAGTACGTTTGTGATACCGAAGCCAAAAGCACAACTTGCCTTCTCATCATACCCGCGTCAACTTAAGTCATGCCGATGGGACAAGAGGACTTATCTATCAGTGTAGAGCCCGTGTATCTCCTTTTATACCCCAGCCTCCTGGCCCTATGTAACATGTACCGGATACCCATTCTGATTTGATTAATTTATGAAGTATGCGCAGTGAGCTCGGAACCTCTTCTGGTATCTCCCCAAAATCCCGTCGTCTCAAAAAGTTCATCAATGTAAACAAATAGACTGCACCAGCGATAGCCGCTACATACGCCAATAGATTAGCCGTCCCGTACCTTTAGTTACAAAAGGATGACAATAAAGGGATACTAGTACACATGGAAAACAGTGAAATAAACACTTAGACTAGCTACCTGAGTTCCAACATAAGTGACTATCAGAGTTTTCTGGGCAGTAAGGGTGGGGGGGGGGATATAATATGATTCCTATGCGCTTGAATAATATATACACATGCAGAGTACTTATCCCTTACTACAGTGTCGCATTATTCTTATATTTGATAATAATAGATAAACTCATAATGTAAGTAATACAATCCGTCTTCTAGCCAAGTACATTGAGCTCAACCCTGGCCCCATGCAAAATATGGAAATCACTCATCTCAATTTTAGGTCTGAAAGGAACAACCGTGATATAGTTGATACTGAGCTGCATCTTAATGACATTATTTGCTTGACAGAAACTCATTTAACACCAGATATTCTCAATAATGATATCATGCTAGACCCGTTTCCAAATGAAGCATATAGACAAGATAGACAAAATAGGACGGGTGGTGTTTTGATTTATTATAGAAATACTGTTCAGATTAAAAGAAGTTGAGACCTGGAGCATGATGATGTTGAACTCGTTTGGATACAAGTACATACTGGTATTCATAGAATTTTATTAGGATGTGTATATAGACCGGAAACTAATGTGGAATACTGGACACAACTTGATATTTATATAATTATTGGATAAAGCTGTTGATACTTCACTGGACTTAATCTTAACAGACGACATAAATATGGACATGTTAAATCTTCGTCCCAACTAAGATCTCAGTAGAATTCTTACTCACTAGTCTAATAAATAAACCGACAAGTATCTCTCCTGATAGTTCAACCTCTATAGATATTGTCTTTACTAATGATACTAGAATCATTCAGAATACATGTACAAGTCCTCAGTTCTGTAGTTCACCCTCCTATACATAGTACAGTCTCCTACTTTGTCTTTAAGCATAGGTGTTATAAAAAGACGATATTAATGTATGATAATGTTGATTTTGACAAACGTAATAGACCACTAATATATATTGGCTGGATGATATACTCACAAAATAGTACCCCATAAGAATTTAACCAGATACTTACCGATAATATTAATCAACAAATAAGCAATTTTATTCCGTCAAAAGTAGGTACGATACATCCAGATCATAAACTATGGGTAAATAATGAAATTCGATTAAATCTAAGACAAAAAATAGGATCCATAGAAAAGCGAAATAAACTAATAGTCAATACCACTGGAAGTATAGAAATAAAGAAATAATAGAAATGATACTATTGAAATCATAGAAAAAATGAGAAAGGATTATCTTAAAAAACTACAGAGATCTCTGAGTGATAAATCCTTACCCCCATCTAAGTGGTGGAAAATAGCAAAGTCTTACCAAATTTTAATAACCATTTCTCCTCTCGATCATAATGGTATATCTCTCCAACATCCTATGGATAAAGCTAATAACTAAATGATTACTTTACCTCAATAGCAACATCCTCTTCTAATCTTGACCCACTGCCACCTACTATAAATAATAATCATTTTCAATTATAAAATATTAATATATATCTGAACAAGATGTAATCGACCAACTTAAACTACTAACTGATAAGAAACCAACAGGGCCTAATGATACTCTCATAAAACATTTGATTTCGTTTAATACATACAAATAAATTCCCTGAATTTTGAAAAAAAGTTATTAAAAAACTAACACCCCCAATATTATATCCACTAACATTACTATTTTAAAAAAAAAACGATGGAACTTGGATATATCTCTGCATTATGGAAACTTGCAAATGTAAACGGAATATATAAGGGTAAGGGGTTCCAAAATAATGTCAGTAATTATAGGTCAATCTCAATTACATCCTATTTCCGTAAAGTTACTGAAAAAAATATCTTCAAGTACCTTATAACTACTTTGTAGCAGCTGAAACTATTACTGAGCACCAGTCAGACATCCTGCCTGGTGACTGTGAATCAGTATTATCTATATATCACACTATTATGAATAGTTTAGATAAAGGTTAAGAGGTAAGATTTGTCTTCTGTGATGTTAGTAAAGCTTTTGATAAGGGTTGACATGACGGTTTAATATATAAATTTATGTAATTGAAGGGATAATACTGGCATATTTTAAAGGGGCATCACGGTGAAGTAACTTTATTTTTTGTCTTTTTTTCAAATACTACATAAACATATCAAGTGAGACTCCTTATGGAAAATAACGATCGGATTTGGCTGAAATAGATTCATAAAAATGATTAAATCTAAGAAAATCATCGGTATTTCTACCTGTCTGACCAACGTTTTGTTCAGGGATTTCCCTCTACTAGCGCATGCGCATAGCACACCATTTCTTTGTAAACAAAATGACTGGCCGTGTGAAGTAAGCGAAAGAAAAGTGTTGTACCGTGTCAGCTACGAAACGAAAAGTTGCCAAATGGTCAAAAGATAGCGCAAGGAGTACGTTACGGAATCATTATTGCAGGTGGGCAGTATTCAAAGGAGAAAATAACTGCCGTAGCAGTTAGTACGGTGCATGTATTCTTCCGGATAGCCGGTTAAGCTGAAATGGAATCGACAGAAATGCTAGCGCTGTTTATGTTATGAATAAATATCTAAAACTATTAAGCTCGCTAGTATCTTTGTCTGAGTTTGAACACAGATGAACTTAGTTTAATATGTTAATGGGCATGTATTGGAGAGAGTTTACTTTGTGTTTCTATAATTATACAGTGGTTTATGCGAAAGGAAGGGATAAGTGACTGGTTAGTTTGATTTTTCCATGAGGCCCTCCAAGGGATAACTGTTGTGATGGCCCACGGCGTATTTTCTGGGTCACCGAGATACGTGTTATCGAAGTCCGTGGATTTACATAATTTATAATATTACCGGGTTCAATAAAATGGTATGATTTAATTATATTGCTGAATTAAACGATTATTTTTGTTTTTACATGCAAGATTTAAATTAGTGCTAATATGAATACCCGGCCTCCTCTGCCCCGGCAACATATAAAAAAAATCAGAAAGGTTTGTCCCTTGGTGTAGGGAAGGTGTTTAGACACGTACCATCTGTACCGGCCACATTCCGGTACTAAATTCAATATATATTTAAATATATCTACTTTATGTTTATGCCTATTATCATTGTTGACATTTAATTGTAAATGTATGACGGGAGAAGGCTGTAAAAACTTGTGCCCCATCCCTTGTTTAATTTTATTGGCAACACATTTATGTTTAAAGCTAAATAAATCTAAATTCTGAATATTGGCAAGTGTGCAATTAACTTCTAATGATGAATAATTACTGTTCAATAAGTTTGAATACGGACTTAGAAATCATATAACTTGGTTTCATAGTGCGGTAAGAAGTTGCAGTTGCCTGACGGCCCCTCTCTGGGGGCCTCTTTGGAAATCGTTTCATCTCGCTCGCACCACTTGTGTTTACTGCCTAGTCAGGTGACGTTATCGGCGCTATTTTTAGCAGGGCTTTCCCGAACAATTCAAGTGGTCAAACTGGACATTTGGAACGGACTATGAATATGGGGATAGCGTGGTAACATAAGTGGAAGTGCATACAATACATACATTCATTAAAAAACACGCCTTTTCACGTGATGTCCCTTTAAGAACTACCTTGTCCGAGAGAAAACAACGGGTAATTACAGAAGGACACCAATCAACTTTTAAATGTATCAGTGCATGAGTCCCTCAGAGGTCTGTCCTTGGTCCATTTCTTTTCCTTCTCTATATTGATGACATCAATAATAAAGTTACTAGTCAATAAATTGTTTTGCAGATGAAACCTCCCTCAATATTATTGTTGATGATAAGCATATTCAGGCAGCACACAATATCACTACTGACTTGCAGAATATATGTTCTTGTGCTTAATCTTAGGATATAAATTGTAATGCATCCATAACTACAAGTATGAATTTTCACATGGAGAAAAGAAACTAACCACCCTCCAATCTTCTTCTCTAATCAACCACTAACTGACAGTACTTACCATAAACATTTAGGTCTTACATTTAACGAAGATGGTAAACGGGATCAACATATCCAAAATATTTATGATACAGAATCTAAAGAATTAAGATATTAAAAAGCCTTAAAACCTCATTTGATAGAAGCACACTTAACACTATGTACATATCTTATATTAGACCAATTTTAGAATATGCAAATGCTTCTAGAGTAGTGACAGAGTTTCGTAGAGGTACATCACATCATTTATACAAAGAATTAGGTTCGGGGAAAAAATTAATTAATTTTAATGTATAAAGTATTACATAATACATCACCAAAATACCTAAATGATATAGACGAACCTCTTTTTTTATGATTTAACAAATGTGAGATATCAGCTGAGATTAAATAGAGATTTTAACCCCAAAAAATGTAGAACGGAGAGTTACTTTAATAGTTACTTTCTCTCATCTTTTCAATTTTATCATCAGTTAGACCAAAATATTTTAAATGCTCGATCTCTTTCCCAATTTAAGAAGCTAATTAACAAACTAGTAACGTACCAGCTAATGATACTCAGTCAGTGGTAAAAATAACTGTTTAAAGAAAAATCAAAATGATTCTGTCAAATTAGAAATAATGCAAGCAGCTTAAATTTTGATCTCCGTATTGTAGAATCTGCTGTATCTGAATGTGGTTATATACAAGAAACAAGTCATCATTACTTCTTTGTGTGTGCAAGATACAACACTCTCAGACAATTATTCTCAGCTTCCCTACTCAATGATAATCACTCGTACTGTACTCTACATATACTATACTTCATGGCTGTAAGTAATGTGACAATGAATCTAATAAGAATATCCTAGAAAGTGTTTCAACCTCTATCGCAAACTCAAAAAGGTTTATGTAAATAGAATTACTTATTGATAAACTATAATGTACTAATATTGTAAACATGGATATTCAAGTTGAAAGAACTTCTGACATATAAATGCTTATTTATCTATTACTGGCTGTTATCAATACCATTAAACATTTACAATTGAACACAATTGTGATAAGTAATTGATAAAAAATGTTGTATAATTACATGTTTACCATATTATAATTTGAATGATAATATGCCCATCAAGATTGGCATAGCTTATTCATAATGTCCAATTTATATAAGCTTAATATTTAACTAACTCCGGGTCACTTTGTGTGGATCTCGAATTCCCAGCGAGGATCTAGTGAAGGACAATGGCTAATATTCACTCATTACTCTGGCAAGGGATATCATTTTCGGAGTTTGATGGAACAGAATAAGCCGAAACATACAAATGTACCTTCTGATAGAGGGCGTTGAAGTCGGGTATCGCATGTGCTGGGTGTGTGGTATGTGACTGTCGGATCATTCAGCGATAGTCGCACCGACAGTACACATGGTTTCTGTTATTAAATAAGAAATGTACACCTTATTGTATATTAAAGAACTTTAGAATTTCGTAATGATTTGATGGAATGGTTTGACGTGCATTCATAACGAAGGATCGGAAATGTTAGGAATGTGAGCAAGTTTGATCTGTAAAAACTGCCGGCGAGTATGTTCTTCATACAATAAATTGCAAATTGAATTGTTATTTTGGTATTGTTTTGGTTTCTGTCAGAGAGTGTGGTAGGGAAGATTTCTATAAACAATTTGAGTTATCTCCCTTATACCATTGACTTGCAAATTGATATTTAGTATATAAAATCAAATTTTGTTCATTTCAACATAAATCATAATATATATATATACACTTTCATACAATTGAGAGGACTGATATAGTGCTGTTCGATCCTATTTATATACCATCATGAATAAAATTTGTTGCATTGAAATGAACCTTGAGCCTGGTGAGATAGGTAGCATACTTGACATAAAATTCAGAAAGATGTGATTCATGATTTCTCCTGTAAATCGTTGATATTGAGTGAGACTTAAATTATGACATAATTATTATATTGATCAATCAAATATGTTTACACTGTTTTTAGATGAACCACGAATATCGATAAAGAACCTTTCAATTTGTCGTTTTTGAAATATTTTTCTCTGTCAGGATTTTAATTTTCTAATTGACTGTTATTCAGATGATGGTGTGTATTCTGCTTGCTGGTCTTTCCGTGACGACAGCATTCGTCGTCAATGACTACGACGGCCCAATGAACTTTTCCTGTCAAGGAGATACTACTTTACGCCATCTGTCTAGTAGCCATACCAACTACTACGAAGACAGAGTGTGGTCGGTTGGCTGCTATCCCGCAGTAGCCAGGTTAGAGAACTGCCAGTGGACAGGTGCAAACATATAGGTTTTGCAATGTCTTTCCACAAATATATGTATTGATAACGTAGTTTATATGCAGGTTTGTTGTTCAGGATGAATCCATATCCATGTGTATCAGAGACATGCCCTTTATGTTAAGGATCAGGCCTACTTTACACTGCTACCTTATGCTGCTATTTAAGCACATATTAAAAGGAAGTTGAGATATCGTGTTGGAAAAACAACCAATGGATTCTTTGCCGGAGTTAATTTTTGCATTCATGAACAAATGTATTTTCGAGGATGAATTCTTTCTTATCTTGGATTCAGTCATATCGCTTTAAAACACGAAAAAACAACTTAACTATAATGATAATCGTCCTATCGAAATTATCAATCCCTGGTTTATTTCACGAACATTCCTTAAAAATCAACAAGATAATACCGAAGTGTCAACAAAACAAACATTCCAACACAAAATCGATAAATCTAGAACAAAATATGAACAAAGTGAAATATTTACATGGAGACCATTAGAATAAGGAGAATATGACCAGGTGTTCCGGAAGAGTAAGCGTCCTCTGCTTCATCGACAACATCTGCCGTGTAAATAGTTTGTATATGTCAAATCCAACTAATGCAACATCCTCTTTGCAAGAACCAGGGAAGTGATAACGAATCAACAAGACAAACTAATGAGCAGAATAAAAAAAAAATCGACCTTTATATCACACAAAATATAGCATATTACCTAATGAGATTGTGATGGCGACCATGAGACCTGTCCATAATCTTCACCGATCTGCATCTTTCGAAACACTGTGTTGTAAGTTTGTCCGTCAACAGTCAACACCTAAACAATGGAATTAGTACCGAAAGATCGAGGAAAGCAGCTAAAGTAGAAAAGTCTGTAGAAGTCTTTGATTTCAAGCTTAGAAGGGTATATAAAGTCAACGTGGTCAATGAATTTCTTGTTATTTAAAGACAGTACATCGTTGATATATCTGAATGTGAAATCGTAGGACATTCCTGATAGACTCTTCAACTTAACAGTTTTATTCCATTTTATCGCTTTGCTGAAGGTTTTCGCCTTTAATCCAACGATGCTTTCCAGTGGAACAATATAAGATAAAGAACTTCCTGAAGTCAAAGTTCGTACAACTAGGACCAGTTCCTAAGCCATTTTCATGTACTTACAATATGATCAGCACTGAAGACTTTTGTCATGCAATGATGTCCTTCATTGACTGTAGTTTTAACATTTCGGTTTAATATCATATATCTTGCAGGGTATGTTAACGATTTCGACCAAACGTTTGACTTTGAATGCCCTGGGGATGGGTTCATCAATGGCATAAGAAGTTTCCATAACAATTATTACGAGGATAGAAAGTGGGCCTTTAAGTGTTGTGAAATGCAAGGTAAATATTGACTGATATTATATACAAATGATTTTGACTCATCCTATCAACCGATTGCAACATATAGACAATATTTCTTCCCTCTTATATCTATTGATTGACTAATGGTACAAGCATTGGGAGAAAACATTTCCTTCCGTATATTCATATATTCAAATAGAAATGTAATTGTCGAAGTGGTTGGTATAAACCGACAACTTCGAAAATCATGGTTGTAACAGAATGATAATACTATTAATTTAATGTGGTATTGATTTGTTAGATCGCGTTAGACGCAATTGTCGAAACACTGGATTTGTGAACAGCTATGGCGGTGACCTGAGTTACACAACAGCACACGCTTACCAGAACTTCCACGGCTGGACCAGTATCCATAACAACTACTATGAGTATGTAAAACACTGTTCTAGATATACAATATACATTAAACAAATACGTCATTTCATGCTTGTGATTAAGAAGAATAGTTTCATACCGTTCTTCCTATTAAAAAGGCTGTGAGACAATAAAAAATGAAAAACATGACCCAAATGCTCATGGACTTTTTTAATGATATTTTACATTGTTTGTAAATTTCAAAAAGACAACTTTGCGGAAAAAAATGCATTATTGTTTATATTGGAATAATGTTCATAATCGGATAAATTAACTTCATCCAAGGCATTTAAATGGCAATTTCGTACGAGAGCAGATCTTAAGAACAGTGGCAGCAAAATGTCTGTTATAACTGTTATATGCACAAAACTTCGATGGCTTTTTTATATGTCAAAATTCCAGTATATGATCTAGAATAAATACCACATCTTAATTACTTATGTAACAATCTTCTCTTTTTCAGGGATCGAATATTTGATTTCCAAGTGTGCGATTATGTAGAGCGAGATGCCAGCGGGTTCTAACATATTCATATTACACGGCAATGATTTGTCAGAACTTTGAAAATATAAAAGGATATATCTAATGGATTTGGTTGGGTTATCATTTTAATAAATCTGTATTGAACAGTTTGTATCTTACTGGCCATGCAGATACTTACATGATTTAGAGTCACTGACAATTTTTTGAATACTGAATAAATATAGTCGGTAATATATCCAAACCTTCGACTTGAACCAAGAGGTTTAGAAACTGTTTTGCCGCAAACATTGTTCACAAGGTTACAAAGGACCTAAAGATGTAATACATCCCACCAAATAAACATGAACATTATATTATCTGATTATTCAACTGATTTCTATCTAAGCCAATTTTCATGTTCATAAGATGCTTCACAGCAGTCGAGATTTAGCACGAAAATCATGAAATTCAGAGTGAGCCTTGAATATTGAATTGACTGTAAAACAAAATGCCGTTTATGGGGGAGGGGGTAACTATCAAGAAAAAGAAAGACCGTGATTGGAAAATTGACACCGTGCGATTATTATACAGAAGTAAGTCGTCCCTTCCTTTTTGTCATCATGTAAGTGAACTAGAGTGAGGTGAGCAGCTGATGTAGACGAGTCTGTAAAGTCATTGACTGCAAGTTCAGGAAAGGTTGTATATGTATCAATTTATCTTAAACTATATTTAAGAATTTGGCAAAGTTTTTGATATCAGTCCAGTTAAACTTGTGATACTTTCAACCTCATTTGAGGACAAAACGAACTCTGTCGGGAGTAGGGCAGATTCAATGTCCATTTGAATACCAACAGTCTGCTGAAAAGACCAGATTTCAATCATTTTCACGGTTTCATCATATAAGGTATCTGATTTATATTAGATGAAATATCTCATATCTCACGTATTTGTTTTTATAAATATCCCGTATACTTAAATATTATTCTATAAATGTTAATAGTTAAAACTAGAAGTGTAAGTTAACTTATACTAATACTAACTAATACCGCCGCTCCAACATAATCTAGAACTGTAAGCAAAAACCTAACTTATACCGCCGCTCTCTAATAAACTAGAAATGTAAGCGCAAGGCTAGCTAAGGCAATATATTGCAAAACAATCCATAGCCCCCCACCACTAATGATTTACCTTGCTGTACACCTGTTTTAATTTATAGGTTACAGTGACATGGTAATGGTGATATATAATTGTATAATTGTTATGTTAACTTTGACGAAAGTGGAAAGGGTACAACAGTTACCCCTCCTTTTTGGACATTCCATGCCTAATTGAAATTCATAATATTTTACAAACAAATTGTTTAACCCAAATAAATAAGTATTTTCGTAAGAAGTCACATCTTATCCCAGACATTATTTCAAATCTTAAACTTAAATTCTAAGGTTATAAAAAGCATCCAAATTTTTGGAATAAAATTCTTAGGGAAACAACTTGTTCAAAAATAAACAAGAAACTGCCAATGGCGATATGGCCGGATCGCTACAGTACATTTTCATGTAAAGCATCACATGTGATAAGCATCCTTTAAGATACATAAGCCATATGCTGGTTTAGTTGATGTACAACAATTAGTTACTTAGCAACTGACCTTAACCAAATTTCTAAACTTAGTCACTGGAGCAGAAAATGTACGTCAGAACCAGCATCCGAAAAATCGCATGTGATAAGCAACCTTAGATACATGTCATGCAAGTTTAGTTGATGTAGGACAAGCAGTTACTTAGTAAGTGACCTAAACCAATCTTCTTAACCATAGTGCAGATGGGGCCTGACCTCATCCAAACTTCTTAACCTGGTCACTGTGGCCGAAAATGTAGGTCAGAACCAGCATCTGGAACATCGCATGTGATAAGCATCCTAAGATGCATAAGCCATGCAAGTTTAGTTGATAATTAATAACTTGCAAACAGAGCTTAACCATTCTTCTTAACCTTACTGCAGACAGACAGACGGACAGACGGACGGACGGACGGGGATCGCCAATCTACAAGCCCTGATTGCGTTGCAATTCGGCCAATAAAACCCCCAAATCCGCACAACCTAAACCTGATTCCTATGAAAACAGGACAGTAATAATTAAACTTTCAATTAAACTTTAAACAAGATTCATTTGATTGTCAACAGTAAATATGTTTAAAACAACATCATAATTTAAATCTATATACAACACAAAAATGTAGACATATTTCCACAATTTATAATATTTCTTTTAAAATCTTGACAAGAGACTCATTGGGCCTTTAAAGTCCATTTGATTGAAACCTATCTATAATTTACCTTTGGACAGTTGAATAAATATATAGTTTTTGTTAAATAAAGCTGAATCCACTTCCCTGAGAAAAACATCCTACCAAGTTTGGTTATAACTGATCAATTTGCAGAATAAAACAAAAATGTGAAAAGCTGATGACAAACAGATAGGATAGATTTGTATGGGAAAACTCCATCTTGGACCTTTGATCAAAATGGACAAAATAATACACACTTTTTATATCTTAATATATTCAAGTTAAACCTGGATAAGTTTGCTCCTTTATCATAAAATATAGTTAACAACAAGTAACTTAAATAATTCATAAATCACAAACAAATAATTTTAAAACTTTGTATACATATTTATATATTCACACCATTCCGAAAGGTCTCCAAAAATTGAACAAACTAAAATTTTATGTAATATGTACATCAAAAGGTAAACCAGTTTAATGTTGTGAACACATACTTTATTCATTAATAACACAAAATAGTTTTATGAAAAAAATATCAATCTGTTAGAAAGGGTTATATACATTTATTCAGTTTATCATAATTCTATATATATGGAAAACAAAATCAATATCTCATTCAAGTATCAATTAGAAACATTTGTAAAATGTAAATAGTTAACAACATTTTTGTAATAAAACTAAAGATCACTTTTATAATTTTGGAAGCTAATTTTTTTATCATCACAATCTACATCTACTTACTAAACTAATTCAAAAAATATTTCAAGATAAAAAAAATACTGAAATGATTGTTTTCTTATATACAAAAGGAAACAAAATGTACATGTAACCTGAGGATAACTAAAACATATATATTTTCACATCTGAAATAATAGTAATTTACAAGACAAGCACACACTTTATAAAAGTGTGTATATTACAACAATCTAATCCATTGCAATCTTGTATAAAAAGTATTGTTAAAAATCTGGCAGCTAAACAAACAGAAGCGATGTTATTAGATATGTATAAAAAATACTGGTATTTAGCACACAACTTTGAGATTGATATTCAGAGTTATTACAGTTGATTAGGGAAACGCCAACCTAATTTACTTAATAGATACATCTATGGAAACATCCAATTAAACTACAACATTGTTATTCAAAAGCCTGAAAAATACTTTTCATTCAACTTAAACTGAACATTGATTTGGTTCAGCTAATAAAACCAGAAAATGGACCTCATTTACTGAAAGGTATTCAGTGAAAAAACTGTAGCAGTCACTGAGACCACAGATACGAAAGCCTATCATGATTCACTGACATATTTATTGATCAATTAGTGTCAACTATTCAATACCAGATACAAGTTCAAGTTTTTGTTAACAGCTCATCAGTTGTGCATAGCATATATACAATGTAACATAAAACACAAACAAGTAAAAAAAACTAGAAGTTTAAGAAATAAAGGACATATACATATATTACTGACTAACTCTTCAACACATTTTGCCGTTTTCTATTGCCAAATTAGCTATTTCCTTTTTTATCTTGTTTCCTGTTGAAAACAACTTAATCAATTTATGCATACTAATGTGTCGGATAAAGGAAAGATTGCTCAAGGACCTGCGTAAATCGGCAAAAATGGACATTTTAAAACAGAATGGAATTCGTCTTCTATATCATTTAAGACGCACAAAAAGCAAACTATTTCTGTTTTCTATACTCTGGTTTTTTCCCGTTTCTATACCTATTACAACACTCGAGCGACTTGTCAAAAATAGAAACGTCAATCCAGCCAAGCTTTTTACTTGACAATAAAGCAACAAAAAAAAATGTATTTTGTCAACCATTTATAAACGATCCATGAATACCGACAAATGGCCGATTGATGTTATCGTTCAAGATGTGTTACCAACAAATTTTTTTCCTTTTAATCCTTAAGGAAAACCGATCAAAATGTTTTTTTCGCGGCTAATTATGAACACTCACAATGACGTAACGTCAGAGGTTGACGCACAGTCTTAAAATCGCGGACCAACATTATAATATGATAATATGAAGAAAAATGACATGTACAAATATATATGTTATGATACGCATGTACTACCTTCAGATCATCTACCTAAATATCTGCTCTAAATGTACAGACGTTTTGAATATAATGTGAATCATGTACGAAAACTTCAAAATTTACCTTTTTCTTAATGTAATGTACAAACCATTATTGGATAGTGTGGTAAACAGTTGGATATTTTAAAATAAAGTAAGAGCTTATGTGGAAATTATTCAAACTGATAAAAAAATAAAAGCATGATTTCTTTAACTATATTATGTGCATGTATAAACGTCGAAAGCTTATTTTGAAATTCGCAAAAAGACAGTAAACCCGTATATATACAAAGTTGTTTACTTTTTCAAGTTATTTTCATTTCTAGGCAAGATGAAATCTAGCAGAATAAATTATGTCAAAAACGTAAGAATCGGTCTGGTGTCAATTCTTTGCCAACTCTAACAATCTGAACAAAATCATAGAAATTCGTACAACAGTATTTTTGAAACTCTTAATTATAAGATCTATCCGTTCTGTAAAGGAGCCGTAAAGTGCGCCTTTTTCGAGATAGAAAGGCCTATTTGTCACTTCCTGATGAAATGACAAACATATTTTTACCTTTGAATATAATATCCTACGTCGACAGCTTCTCTTTATTAAGACTTAATGAACGCTTGACTGTACAGTATGACGTTTGCCGGACAGAACTATACAGTGTGACGATTACAGGACGGGACTGTACATTCTGACGATTACATGACGGTACTGTACAGTGTGGCGATTACAGGACGGGACTGTACAATGTGACGATTATAGGGCAGGGCTATAAACTGTGACGATTAAAGGACGGGATTGTACATTGTGACGATTACAGGACGGTACTGTACAGTGTGGCGATTACAGGACGGGACTGTACAATGTGACGATTATAGGGCAGGGCTATAAACTGTGACGATTAAAGGACGGGGTTGTACATTGTGACGATTACAGGACGGGATTGTACATTGTGACGAATACAGAATGGGACTGTACATTGTTACGATTACAGAAAGGGACTGTTCATTGTGACGATTACAGAATGGGACTGTACAGGGTGACTATTACAGAACGGGACTGCACATTGTGACGATTACAGATTGGGACTGTGGAGTGTAACGATTACAGGACGGGACTGTTCATTGTGACGATTACAGAATGGGACTGTACATTGTGACGATTATCGGACGGGACTGTACAATGTGACGTTTACAGGACGGGGCTATACAGTGTGACGATTAAAGGACGGGATTGTACATCGTGACGATTACAGGACGGGACTGTACATTGTTACGATTACAGAAAGGGACTGTTCATTGTGACGATTACAGAATGGGACTGTACGGGGTGACTATTACAGAACGGGACTGTACATTGTGACGATTACAGATTGGGACTGAAGAGTGTGACGATTACAGGACGGGACTGTACATTGTGACGATTACAGATTGGGACTGTAGAGTGTGACGATTACAGAACTCGCTTTGTAATAGACATGTTTGGAGAAATATAAGTTAATCCATTTGCGGTTCTAACTTTCCACTTCCACCGCGATATTTTGTAGACGGTTGAAGTGCGATGCTTCATCAATGAAATAAACTGTGGTCGGAGGCACATGTATCTAAGGCAATGCGTTTGTGTACATGCTAATTAAAACTTATTGTATACGTTCACTACACCGCATGTACATGAACATGTACTTCAAAGTTTCCTCCACGCGGTACAAGGGTGTAACGTTGAGTCAATGTCAACCTTGATGTAGGAAGAAACGTGAAGTTACGCTAGCCTACCGCTCCAAGCTCCCTCCACGTTCGCAGCAAACGTGTATAGCCGGTGGAGAGTGGATGGTATATTCTCCAGGGTGGAGAGGGGAGTTGACTTTTTTATACCTCCCCTCCACGCTATAGAACGTCACCGCGAAACGTGGGGATCGTATGCCTCCACGCGGTGTGTAGTGTATCTCCGATTCCTTGTCAACCTACTTTTCCAACAGCAGGACAAAGACAGCAACCAACACCTCGGGTACCACAACATTGTCGATCAGCCGCTGCTACTCGGGATCCACACGCACCCAAAAAGACCTGCTTGGCAAGACTCCGGAGACTATGATATGTCTACCATATATGTGCCAGAAAAATCCTCAATATAAAGACTATTAAGTGACTTAGTCTCCAGTGTTTGACAGAACAGTTTTAACTACTTTAATTATGTATATTCTAATCAGTCCTTGTTATAGTTACTTCAGTTTATATAGTTACTTCAGTTTACATAGTTACTTCAGTAGAGACATACCAAAGACTTAGAGCAGATGGAGAATAATATAGACATAGGTAATACAACGTGTGCTTTACTGTATTTCAGATTATCCCATCCATTGTGACTTACAAATAAAGCGATCAAAATAAACAATAGTCAATGACGCTAAGTCCATTGGTGCCACAAACAGTAGAATAACGTCACGTCCATCTAATATACGAAGCCCTGTTGCTTTACATAGATTTAATAATCTATTGCCTATTTTTGTTTAACAGTTATCAGGATTAACACGTATAAGCAAACACTCGTCACTTACTTATGTGAGCAAAGGACCTAGTATATTACTCAAACTAGGATGAATAGTATCAGACTGAATATAATCGGCATCAGTACCAGTACGGCTATTTAAATCACCAACAAGCGTTGGGTACCTATCATTAGAATAGTTTGTTAGGACTGATTCTAACTCATAGAATAAGTCACAATTGTAAATTACGTAATACCGTGAACTGACAGGGGGTAAATGAAGAAGTCCATATCTAAGTTTACAATACATATATCAACTCGCAGTACAACCAATGTATCAAAAAGTACCTCACATTTGGAAACATCATACTATTACGAATTAATACAATCACATCACCACCTTGTGTGTGCGGTGTTAACGTTCTTGGTACAACAATGCAATTATAGCAATCTATGTTAACTTCATAATTATTTAACAGATTAACAGATTTTCAGACCTATACATGTTGTGACCAAATTCACGACAGTATCAAGCATTCTGTCAGAAAAACAAAATCATATGTTGCGATATAATACAAAAAAACTGTTATCCTTAAGTTTGTTGAGACTACACTGAGACTGTCCTTTCCTGGTGGAACTGTTATATAATTAACAGCATTCTCCGCACTGTTCACTGGATTTTTTGTACTCATCAAAATGGTCCCTGATGAATTTCTGACTGTTCTCAACTTGAGTCAACCTGTCTTTTAAACCCTTAACTCCATTCTTGACTTCTCGCATTGAAGCTTCAACAAATCAAGTTTACTCAACTTATTTGAGATTTAGCCCATTCCGGCTGAGTTTCGGGTGAAAATGGCGAACCAGTCACAGAGGTGGCTTGCATCATAAGTGGGGACTGAGTTGTGGGAGGAAAATCCAAGGCATACGCGAACGGGCAGTCAAATTACTCCGATAATTCAGTATAACGATGTAGGGTTTTTTTCTTTTCTTTTATAAGTTTCGGTAATTTCCGCAGAGAAAGGAAAACAAAGCCAAGGAACTCCTGATGTTTTGTTCCTCATGATCACTCAATGTTCAGGCCGTGAGGTCAGAATTTGGGGGCATCATCGACTGCTTAAAATGTCCCTTCTATCTTAAAAACCGTCTACACACCAAAAACGCATGGCAACAGCTAAGGTCCACAGATAATAGGCCAAGCAAAGTTTACTTTGAAATATCATCTCGCTGAAATGCCATAACCCGGACACGTAACACATTACATAACCCATCCTCGATATCCAGGGGTTACGCTCACTTTCGCTCTCTGCACCCCTGGAATATGTCATAGCAAAATTGAAGGCTTACTGTGCAGCACCTTGTGGACGACACGAGAAGACTAGTTCGATCCTTTGATGTACATCAAAAGAATCTTGCGGTCACGTAACGGTACAAAATGACAGGCGTTGAAGTCGGCGTCTCTCCTTTGTAATCTTCAAAGGACAGATATCAGCCTAGCGATTGGTCAGTTTTTTCACCTGAGATCAATCAAACAGCTATCTTCAGTTTTGCTATGGGATGCAGAGAGCGAAAGTGAGCCTAACCCCTGGATATCGAGGATGTACGTAACTTGACAATGGTCTGACCAGAGCTTGTCACTCGGAACTCCTCGGCCGATTCGGTCATCAATGCAGAGCATGTAGGATAGAAAAAGAAAAGGGAAGAGAGGTCCCAAGTGTTGCAGATAATTGGTTTAAGAAAAATACCCTGGATTCAAAACAAAATGGGCGGGTTGGGGGTGGAGGGGGTCACATTAGTCGCCTTTTACGACGAACATGTAGAGATACTTAATTTTCTGTAAATGCACACGTGTATTAGTACCACATCGATCGTTGATTGATAGTCGAAGCGATGAAAACATAAACGGACAGTATAATCATATCAAGAATATGGGTCAAAAGGATAAAACCCGTTTAAACGTACATGGAAACGAAGTTATGTAATTGGTATCTTTGTTCCTACAAGTTATACACGATATTGCATCATTTATTTGCACGAATCCTTGTGTGACTATTTCCTCAATTATCTTTCACTTAAATGTAGTCTTTGATATTACATAGAACCACTGCGCCTCATGTGATATCTCTAAATAGCTCCACTAGACTTCACATACTCGACACTGCTATCCTGAAATAAATACTCGACATATGTGCGCAAATCTCATTTACATTTTGAGATGGCCCCTCTAGTAAATTTAATGTCATCATAGTTCGTGTCATCTGCCATTGAGGAACGCCTATCAGACTCGAGTGGAGGTCCTTATACATCGACAAATTGGAAAAAAGGCAAACGATCCTCTAAACTTTAGAATGAACAAAGAAACTGCAAATGTCGCTTACGAGGATGTACGAAGTGACAATAGCGACACAAACTGGTGAGTTACATTTATTTTCCTCTCTAACATTACTTTTTAGCGGTATATTCCACCTTAAATATATAGGGGCGTCTGCTTTGTTTCCAGTTACGAACTCTTCAACGTTAAGTTTCCTTCATTTATCTTTATTTATGTACTTATTTATCATTAAATGACTAGTTTAATAAATCATCGAAAAAATGTAGTTGTCATTAATTAGGGAAAATAGCGAAAAGTGTATGCTTATACAAATATATACAAATTCTTTGTAACAATTTGGACGTTCAAAACATTAACATCTTTCATCATTTACTGGACAGTGGAAACATTTAAAGCAATAGGGGCCGTTTCTCCATTAAATGTATTTGTGTAAGGTTACCGTTTTATTTCTCATTTAATTCAAGTAAATGTAATCTGAGTATCGTACGTGTTTCTATAATGAGATGTATGTATGTAGTAGCTATTTCATAGTTTATGTCAATTAGCTAATACATTATGTTTTTATTATTTTATGATGTTTATGCCAAGTGACTGTTACGTTATGATATGTAAGAGATGTTTCGTTATTAATTTATGACATTGACGCTCCACAGGGTCGTCCTGAAGTATGACGGCAATACAATTGTTATTGATTCAACCGGCGAGGATTATGAAGAATTCACTAATAAATTTTCAGGTAATATTTTATAATTTTGATCTGACCTCTCTTTTGGTGAAGATGGTGACATGTTATGATAAAATGCGATTATACGAAGGCCTCGCATAGTATTGACTAAACTACCGAAATCAGCGCAAGCTAGGATTAATCAACTCCCCACTCCCCTTCCCCCATAAAAAATGAATGAAAGCACGCTCGTATAATTATTACTTAACTTTTTACTATCACACCCTAAAGTAAAATTTGGCCTCTACCTTAAACAGATCTAGCTTCCTTGACTCCTCCCCTTTACCGCGCCCCACCACCACCATCACCACTCATTTAACTACATCCCCATTCATGTGCATTTAAGTTTGAGCTTCATGAAAGCTCGCCAGTAGTTTCGTACATCTGCACTCGCCTCTGCTTAATTTCACACTCGTTAAGCCAATAGCCATGTATCATAAAGTATATATATCACAAACTGATTATCTAATACATGATATAACTACTATATAAAACTGTCGCGTTCGATAAGGAATTGATATCGTTATCATTCTGACATCATACTAACTTGTACTGATGTTATTTCCATGGTAATTATATGCATAGCAAACCTGAATATATGTGAAGCATGGTCTATTTCATGTAAAAATTTAAAAACTTTTTTTTTTATTATTAAATGTCGGAATAATAATTTCATTATATAAAACAGCAAGAAATATGTGACAGTTTGAGGCACATGTTCACAAATGGTTATTATGTAATATTTCTGCAGATTGACAAAAGTTGACGTAAGGGGAAAAACCTACTCGTAATTAAGAGGTCGCTAGTCTGCTATTTTTTTTTTATCGGATAAGATTATACCGACTGTTACACGGCGCTTGTCTAAAGTACCTCACATTGTTGGAATAGGACGGAACCGATTCGGTATTTCCGCATTTTTGTTTATCTAGCAATATCCCATTGTTGATTGAAATATGTCCGTATTTCATATCCATCTCAAAAGAAAACTCTATATAGAATTATGCAAATTGAAGTAAAGCTTCCTCGGTGATATATAACCTTGACCCCGAGTCACAAGACCCGGATAGCATCCTGTGTTATTAAAGTACAGTTTACTATACACGCGTGTATAAATAATGATAGCCTTATTAGGGAATAAAATGAAACAGACAGGAAGACAAACGTTACTGTGACCCCGGGGTCACCAGTCAGGGGTCGTCGAGATGGTAATTTTAAAATTGTATAGGGCTTAGTAATAGCTTACGGTGTTTAATGACGTCAGTGCATGCATTAGTTAACTGCATGGTGTTCCTCCCTTACCTATGCCTTACCTATACATGTCTCTGACGTGTAAAACAGATATACAAAGGTATTATCGTCATGCAGTCTCTCTCGAGACGGCCCATTTTCTTAATCAAATCGCTATCCCACTTAATCTTTGACCTGTGGATGTTGGTACCTTTGAGCTGGTTTGTAAACTTGTACATACACATCTATAAACCACAGGGACCTGAAAACTTGTAAGTTCAATTTTCGGTAAAAATTACACCTCTACGATAATACACATTGGACTAATTGCGGGGAGGGTCATTTTTACTGAAAATTGATCTAAACCCCAAACACATGCTAAATCACGCTGAACATTTCAGTTTGAGTCAAACTATAGGTGAAGCAAATGTTCAAGTCCCTGTTAATATAAACGTGAATCTCTATATCGTTTACTANACGTCCTATTTTAAAATTTACATCCAATTATCTGCTTTCTCCTATTGATAATCACTTCATTGGTAAGGATTGCATATTTGATTTGTCTAGATCTGACACTGCACCAGTACACGAGAGATGTGTTTTAGCCGATTTACAGATAGATTATATCGTGCCTGTACAAATAAATCAGTGTGTCAACCGAAATATGCGGGAGCGTCAATTGTTGATGTACACAGGATGTAAAACATTGTGTCGACTCGTGAGTATTCTAATCCGTACAAAGGTGTGCTTGTCCTGACATAATTAACATATTAAACTGAGCTTTATCATATAATAGATGAAACGAAAAGAAATAATTAACGGATGATGAAAAAACATAAAGAGGGGTTATTTTCATTATTTAGTCATATATATTTGTCGTCAAGAATGCAAGCGCACCGAGTCACACTTTTAAATGAACTTTCAAATGCAAATTGTAAGAAATTTATTGTGTATTTTTTTTAATCTTTATTGAGTAATATCTACAGTCACAATTAAACTTTCGTGATATTGCGCTGAATATTACGATCAGCTTACGTTTACTGCGATTATTTTAACTGTAATTGCACCGAGTCCTTTGAATCGAAGGGTATAGGAGACAAGTCTGAATTTTTATTGCATAAATTCTACTTCACTCTATAGCAGTGTTTCTTGGTCAAAAAAGAGTAGATCTCAAACCTCTAAAAAGCGTGGATTAAGATGTACTACTATAAAGTCGTGTTATTTTTTCGGCTGATCAAAAATCAAATTTTGAAAACCCCTTTTCTTTGAACCGAAATTATAATTGAGCAACAAACTGGAAATTGATAATGATGGTCTACTGCATGGTGGTCCATACAAAAGTTGTTCATACTTTTCGGTTTATCAGAAATCCAATATGGCTGCTGAGGTCGCCATTTTCAAACTCCGCAAGTTCAAACGGACCGACTAAAATGTAACTTGGAAAGGACGATCTAAATAGCAAAGATGACTAAAAACAATCAATTATCACTATCAACCACCCTCGATACTCCAGACGTTACGTTCACTTTTGCTCTCTGCCGAAAAGCGAAAGTGAGCGTAACCCCTGGAGCGACGAGGATGACTATCGCCGTATTTTTGGTTTCTAACAAATGATGGAACTATATTGGTTTTCCTACATTACTATTTCCAGTTCACGTCTCAACGGCACTATTTATAAAGTATAAGTTAGCTGACCATTAAGACGAATGGGCCTCTTGTATATAAATAGATATATTCGTCACTCGCCTAAGTGTGAAGTAGTATCGACTTCCGCACAACATTTTATCTCAACACACAAACAAAATTACTCGCGAAATTCTCGTCGGGCCGGAAGTTCGATCAAGTATAACTCCTTCAGTAGACCGGACATTCGGACGGGTAGCTCTTTAAATTGGGTTTAATAAATATCGTCTGATATTAATGCACAACAAAATGACTAATATATATGAAACAATTGTTGTAACGTAAAATTCCAATAAGTAATCCAATTTCATTAAAGGCGGTGAGATACACGAAGAAATATTACGGAATGCCGCGGTAGACGAGGAACTTCTTTTTAAAAATAATATGTTTAACAGAGACTTTTACGGGGAGTGAATGTAAATATGATAACAGGGATGAAAAAAACTAATTGTATGTTACAAATTGGTGAGAGCTAAGTGTTAACGTTATCTAAACTTTCGTTTCCGTTCCAGATGATGACAGGGGATTTGCCTTCCTTAGGATTGAGACAGGGGACGAGATGAGCAAACGCAAGAAGTTCGCTCTTGTCACCTTTATAGGGACAAATGTCGGGGCCCTTAAAAGGGCAAAGGTCAGCACGGATAAAGCTCAAGTAAAGGACGTATTCAAGGTAAGGGACAAATCGACCCACTTGTGCAACACTGTCTTCTTTGTCATGTTTTCCCTCAGACATAACAAATATAACATCGAATTCCAGGGGTATGTGTCAATGCGGTGCACAGAAAATCGAGAAAGACTACGGTCGACTCGTCTTCCACGTTGATATTCATTAATTTTGGACGACAAAAAGACACGGTCGACTCGTCTTCCGCGCTGATATTCCTTAATATAAGACGACCAATTGCCTAATTTAAATTCATGTTCTCGCAACTGGTGAAACATTTTTGGACGAATATAGGTTCGCTTTACTCTTGCACTGTACTTCAATGCCTCTATTTTTGTATTTTACAGAGTTTCGCAATAGAAATACTTACCAACGAGAAATCAGATCTGAGGGTGGATAGGATAAAAGCGGAAGTAGTCAAGGCAGGTGGCGCTAACTACGGCACCGGATGTTAACGATGCTTAGAAAACATTTCACTGGTTTAAACTATCGTTCCATCGTGAAAAAGCATTCCATAGTATAGACACTTTATTTATATGTTAGATCAAATGCTGAGCTTTGTAGAAAATGGTCTCAAATCTTTTAACATGTTATATTGTTTGAATGTTTGCATATACTGTACGCTACCTTGCTGTGATATTATTTACTTTCTGAAGTATTCACCACAAACAAACATTGAAAAGATTTCCCTAGATTATGATGACTTTTCAGATAATGAGAAAGATTAGCTAAGGGCGATAACTCGTGCACAATTCACGTGTATAATGAATGTGATAATATATGCCCTTAAACAAGCTAAATTGCTAAAGGTACATGTGGAGTAAACACATTTATGTATTTCATATAAGTTATGTGCAGAATCAAAGCCAAAATGTTAAAATCAAAGGCAAGGGTGCAAAAGAAACCCTAAGTTAGCATCCTGATTAGAAAAATCGTAGATTCGCCATTGATTCCTGCTGTTTGAATACTTGTGCAAATATTTTCTGTCTGACAAATATATATTTATTATTTATATGTTAATTGTCTATGGACGAGTGTAATCGTGCTTGTGTTCCCTACGATCTCACTTTATTCAGTCAGTCTCACTTTATTTTCAACTTAAGTGTTTTAGTCATTAAAAAGAACATCTTATGACATGTAAAATTTAGTAATATATAAAAAATATGTTATGTTTCCCTCCCTCCGCCCTCAACCACTCACCCATGGAAGATTTTTAATAAACAAAACATATTTTCCTTTACATTTAACCATTTTTCTTATCTTATTTTAACATTTTATTATCTTCATATAATACGTTATTACTGTCTCATATCCTTGTATTTTAAGGGAATATACAATACACCTTATGCCATGGTATTGTGCAAATCCCCATTTCCACTTAAAATATAGCGTCCCTCCCTTTTGCAGAATCCTAGATCAGCACTAGATGTGGACTGTCCCTCATATATAGGTTGTCGGCTCTTTATAATAATATGCCCCGCCCCGTCCCTCTGTTTAATTTGATAAAGGGTAGAGGTTTATAAAACACACACAAAAAACCACTGTGAACGTCTTTAGGGGTATTACGTGAACAACGAGTGTCTCAAAGTTGGATAACATGTTAAAATAAATGTATATGTTTATGAAAAACCTTACAGATTGCGTTGCGTTCCTTTGTGACAGTTTGCTTGCGTTTTGCTGGAAGAGCCATTTATAAACCGCATCTTCAACGTTTGGAAGGAGTGTTCGTCTGAATTCGTAAACTCTAAAGATGATATCAATTCAAACTAAAGACCCCGACGTTAAACTTACTCCCGGCCTTAATTATATCTGCACCTAAAAGGCTAAATATGGAAAACTGGACTCGAACGACCTGTCTGACCAAACCGTTCTCATGCTCAAGCATGTTTTCGTTTTTTTAGCCTAATTTCTTGTTCCGGTAATAAATCAATCATAAAATCTTATTTTGTCAATTATTTAGAGAAAAGTTGGAAAGACTTGGAGCCGAATACTGTTTTCAATGTTTACATTTGACTTTTTGATAGTTTGACATTCATATTTTAAGTGAGTTACACGAAAGTTGGTTTGAGCCCATAATCCATGCTTGAGCATGAGAAAGGCTTCATGAAAACGGACGGATCGATATCAACTGTGGCTTATGGTCAAATATATGACATTAACCCATTCACCCCTTAAGTCACATTTCAACTTTACCAAATCAAAGACTGGGCGAGTCCACTTGAAAAATGTAGGAGTGGATGAGTTAGTCGGATATCCTGGGCGTCAATGACCTGCCAGAGGACACGATAAAAGTACAAATCGATAAACTCCAAAACTGGTAAAATAAAAGTGTTCGATACTCCACTCGGACAAGTGTATTGTCCGATCAGGCCATACAAATTGTATGTTTCAGGTACCCTGACCGACTTAGTTTTACCTGCGACCCTTAGCATTTTATCTCACTCGAATGCACTTACATTTGTAACCTCCTATTCGAACACGTCGAAAATCGTGAGTCTCTATGAAACCTCTCTATTTCATAGGTAGGTATCAAAGTCAAATTTAAATCCAATATTATTATTTAAAAGACCTTAAAATTTAATGAAAAAATTAACACAATTGGTCTGAAAATTTATGTTGGGTAATTTTTGTAATTTCTTAAAATTAACACTCCCGTGTCTCAAAATAAATGAATAAATACAAATGAAACCCTATGCCGACCTACCCTATTGTTTCGGTCATGTTATATTTTACTTGAAACATACAATTGGTTTTTTTCTGGACGTCAATTTACAGTTTACATCGTAACACCAAACTAATTATAATATGCAACAGATGGGGTTTTTCACAGTGATTTACAACTTCCGACTAAAATCAACTTTAAAAAAATAACAAGTCAAAATCAACTATTTGACCAACTTTGAAGTGTGACCATGTAGCTTGAAGTGTATTGTGTATCGCCGAGTATATTAAGTATTGGGAATTGAAAGAATCGCAAGACCAACTTAAGTATAGGATATCGACTTGTTGAAAAGTTGCATCGGAGCCATCCCGGAAAAAAATATTGAATTATAAACATGTGTAGATGTCAACTCAATAGCAATATTGGATTAAAGCAAATTCACTAAAAAATAAAACGATTTCTACGTAAAACATTTTTTTCTGCATACAAAAAATATCAATCATTAAAGTTGGTTAGCAGGACTGATTTAGAGCTATTTTAGTCCACATTGTCCGTAATTTTACACAACACTAGGCGCTTCATGACACAAGAAATATGCATTTCATAACTCTATCTGTTAAAACTAAATCGGATCATAACTAAAATTTTAGTTTTTCAAGCTCGCCATTAACACCGAAGGTAAGGAATGATGATGAACTTTCTTATTTGAATCAGGTTGAGTTTCAACGAAATTGGTCGACCGGTCATCCTTAATTAAATGCTAATGAAACCGATGTCAGTGAGTGCAAGCATCTAGTACTACAATCAGTGTTAACCTGACGATCAGGAATCTGTACAAAAAAAGTGGTTTTAAGAATTAAATAATTAAAGGTGATCATAAAAGATACATATAATATGGCAAATTAACGAGGCCAGACTAATTATTTACAATACAAAGCAGATTTGATTAGTTATTTAATACGGCAAGCCAATTGGTGCTGAGTCTGTCAGCAAAGTCATTTGAGAAATAGCGAGCATGATGATGATGCAAATACACACATATTATAATCGTATATAGCCGCAGGCTCTCATTTTGCAAACATGATTTCAGTTTATTTCTCCCGTTCGACTAAGGCACATATATTTCACAAAAGTTGCAGTTTGGAATGTAAATGACGTAGGCCGTTCGTGTTTCATGTCATTTTTTAATTATCTGGCGTTAGAACACGAACATATCGCAGCCTCCCAAAATACACACACATACACTACACGCATGCATCTTGCACACAGGGGAGGCCGTCCTTAAATGACCTTAGCTGTTAATAGGACGTTAAACAAAATCAAACAAACAAACAAAAGAATCAAGCGATAACATTATACTACTGATTTTTTTTAATGGCTGATACACTTTTGAGACGACCCCCAAAAACATAGGTGGCGCTGAAAAACATCAAATCCGCGTCATACGTATGTTTCGTATATTAGCATAAATGACTGACGCCATTGTTTCCTTTCCGTGTAGACGCGACTCTTTTGAGGATTTTTCACCTGTAAAAATGGAAGACACTGTAAATATGAGTGATTACATCAGCGTATCTGAAAATGAAAGCGACGAAGCAGTAGAGATACCAAGAGAGGAAGACGGAACACTGCTTCTATCGACACTTTCAGCTCAATACCCAGGAGCATGCGGTCTCAAATTCAGGAACCCAGCCACAGGCAATTTCCGGGGGGTTCGTCTGATTGATGGAAAGCTTCACCCTCCAGACTCAGCATGGGGAAACGACACGTACATTGTTGTCTTCCCGAGACCAAATTCGTCACAGTCAGAAATCCAAGAAACGGAAAACCAAATTCATCATATCCAAAGTTTAGGTGGTAAGTCAGGCGGAAATAGAACTAAAACACCGGAGTTGACGTTTTTGTTGCCATTTGTGAATACATTTTTATCCTATAATGCAATCGTTATCATTTTGTCCAGTTTACTCGAAAAACCTTTCACGAGCATATGGAAGATTTTGCATCATAATTTCAGTTTTAGTGTGTGTAACTAACCAAAATTTCCGATGACAGGATTTGGATGTTAGGGCCAGAGGAAACTCTTGACTGGGTCTGGGGTGAGGGTTGTTTGGCATGCAGCATTACATAGTGTGAGGGTGCCTTGCTCTTAACCCAAGCAAAAAAAGAAAAATCTTGCAATCACATTAATCTAATCCTTGCAATTGTATATGATGAACATGTTTTTTTATTGCCTTTTCTTTAGACAACAAAAGGAAGGGAGATGACATGGAGAATCCTGTTATAAAGACAAAGCGAGTTGAGACCAGAAACGTCTGCAGTGACCTGATTGTCCTTGGCCTGCCTTGGAAAGCAACAGAAGAGGATGTTAAAGCTTACTTCACAGACAATATCGGCGAAGTTGTCCTAGCACAGGTGAGTAATATCTTGCTGCGTGAGACTGGGAACTCCTTTGTGTTTAACTGTCCAATCTGTCAAATATTCAAATATTTTTAAAGTTTTGGAAGAAAGGTGAAAAATAAAAAACTGTTCTACGGAAAGCAGGACATATTAACTATATTTTACTATAAAATACAAAGGAATATGTAACATTTATAACATAAGACATGACTAAGCGATTGTATAGTAGATTTCGCTTATTATCACTTCTGATTTGTCAGATGAAAATGTGATATTAACCGGAACATGACATAAAAAGAAAACATGTTTTTCGGACCTCATTTAAATATGCAGCCAAAATACTTGCTAAATTCCGGCGGTGCTCTTGGATCGTACGTGATCAAATAAACCTAGATCGACATGTAGTTGTCGACTGCTAGTGTATAATTGATTTTTAAAACATCTTTGTAAATAAGGTCCTTCAATCATGCGTTCCAAGTTTGAAATTTTGAAGTCGTTATCTGCGAATGCAGAGAACATGAAAAAGCTACAAAGTGATGAACTGTGATCTTTTGTAACACGTCGTTTCATTGGATGAAATGTCATTGCATATTTTTATCGACCAATCAGATGCCTTGTAACACAGCAAGATAAACCCCCATCGGAAATGGGTCTAAACTGTGCTTACAATATTTTGAGGCTAATATTTTGAAACAAAAAGGATTAGAACAAATATCACCAGCTTATATTAGAACATGGATATTCTGAAATGTATATCTGATCATATGCTCAAATTTCAACATTTAATATGACTTGCAGTGTAAACAGGAATGAATCGTTCGGTTTATTGATACGACATAGCTGCCGACAGCATCATCAGGTCCATTGTATTTTTTTCGGGATCTCGTCCGATTTTGCGATTCAGTCAAATCCTACACATTACGTTGAATGAACTTTGCGTTTGAAAGTAAAATCGTTTATTTTAATTTTCACATTCATAGTAGAGCAATATCCAAACATATTTAGAACATATCCGCTCACGAATCAGATTTACACTTGTCGGTACGGTTTTTGATGTCGTTTGGATAATTTTAAAAACCAAACAAAAGCGATCAAATAACGTGAAACTTGCTAAGGTTTTAAAATTTACATCACTTATTAGATGAAGCATTTAAGTTAAATGCTATTCTATATTGTAACAACATTGAGTCCCTCACATTCACAGAAACCATTTGTAGGCCTACGTAACGGTCACTAATCTGTTAATGTGTACGTTAACTCGATAATTAAGCAGTGTGTTTCAATACATAGTGATTCATTTCTAACACAGATCTATTTATCAGGCTTAAAACTGGTTGCCATACCGACTGGTGGACCTTACATGTAAGTTGTATATGCTCATGTTATTGTCATACCTAACTAGTGTGGTGTGACATTTTAATTGTGATGACTCAGTTTGTTCCATTATGACAATACTAATGTCTTTGAGATTTAATCACATTTAATTGTTTTGTTTTAGGTAAAACGTGATGCCAAAGGGAATTCCAAAGGTTTTGGCTTCATCCGCTTCAGCTCATACAAGGACCAGCTGAAATGTTTACAGCAACGCCACATGATCATGGGTCGATGGTGCGACGTCAACATTCCTAACTCCAACGTCAGTGCCAGTGTAAGATAAGGGGCCATCTGACCCTAGTTTAATATACAAACCTTGGCTCAGGGGAAAGGAAAAATTCCCTGGCTTTAAGATTTTCGACTGTAAGTCATTACTGGAGATACAAAACGTTTCCTTGTACTTTCCAGAAATGCCTTTCAATGGAAAAACTTGAGACAAGAATAATTCATGAGGTAGAGAAAGCTTTGTGAATCTGGGGCTTGGTTTTAAACGCAAGGAAATGCAAAAGGGTTTGCCATGGGTAGGGGGTTAAACTTGGTTTGAATATAAGCAAATATTTTCAACTCTAGATGATGGTCATTGTTAAACTCTAAATTATTAGTCTTAAGTGGTACACTTAAGTTGATCTTGAACATGCTACAAGGTAGTATGAACATCCATTCTCAAGCCATAAATAGTGACCAATCATTCATTTCAGAATCTAAACCTCTATCAATTTATTATTTGAGTATAGATCTCTATTATATTTTACTGAAATGCATGTTTGGGCAGGCGAAGGGAGACAATTTGATCACATATATTGCTTGTATTGGCTGAATTGTCGAAGGATTAAAAGTTAATTGCTGTTATTTCCAACTGGGAACCCTGTAACAGCTGTGTAACTGGTGGTGGAAACTTCCTACATCTGTTAAATAGATATAATTGTGAATTGAGTCACTATCTCACTGATTTAGGCCTGTAATACTTTGAGGCATGTATGTTCTGACAATATCCCCATTGGCAATAGACAACATTAGACCTGTAAATTGGGATAGTCAATAAAAAATGTCACAATGACATAAGCTCACCTGGTCCAAAGGACCATAGTGAGCTTATGCTGTGGCGCCTCGTCTGTCGTCAACTTTTTCTTTAAAACCTATCTCCTCCTAAACGCCAAACAGATTTTCAGGGGGGTTGGGCCCTGAAGGGGAACTTAGCTAAATTTGCTTTAAAACGTATCATGCTTAACGCAGAGAGGATTTCAACCAAATTCAGTCTGAAGCATCACTAGGGGAGGGCAATCATTTCTTAAATAAATGAGATTGGTTCTACCCCAGAGGCCAGGGGGTTGGGCTCTGAAGGGGAACTTAGCTAAATTTGCTTTAAAACGCATCTCCTAAACGTCCAGAGAGGATTTCAACCAAATTCAGTCTGAAGCATCACTAGGGAAGGGCAATCATTTCTTAAATAAATGAGGTTGGTTCGACACCTGAGGCCATGGGGGCGGGCCCTTAAGGGGAACTTAGCTAAATTATCTTTAAAACGCATCTCCTCCTAAACGCCAGAGAAGATTTCAACCAAATTTGCTCGAAAACTTCATCGGGGGATGGCAATCATTTACTAAATAAATGAGACTGGTTCGACACCTGGGGCTAGGAAGACTGGGCCCAAAACAGAAAAATGATCTAATATTTTGCTTTAAGATGCTAATACCCCCTAATTGCCTGAGTGGATTTTACAAAATTTGGTCAAAACATTTTTGAGGAAGTACAAACATTTCTTATTGAATGATTTTGATTTGATTCCTGCAGTCCTAAGAAATGGTACAGCTAGATTATCATATTCTATGGTGTAGTTTTCATAAATTGTTAAAAAGTGGTTTCTAGGTTTATAAAAGCTTATAGTTGTATGAAAATTAAAGTATTGTCTAATTACACCCTGTAATATGATATATTACTTATTTCAAAATCTTTTAACATGGCAACTCTATGGAGGCCCCTGATTAGTTGAAAGTCAGCTTTTGTGGTCCCAGTTTGGTTAGAACATAGATCTTGTCTGGTTTTGAGGAAATTTCATATAAAGATGTACGAATGCATTCAGCTGTAAACCTTTTAGTTTAAGTTCAATGTATACCTTAAATATGTGGATATCTAATTTTAGTATTTACTGGGATGTTTTTTACACTAAATGTCTTAACTTGTTATTGCACTGTAAAACTTTTTAATTCTTAATTCTTTTCACAGGAAACTGCACAGAGAGCTATGAATAGTAAAATATTTGTTGCTCGATGCTCAGAAAAGATTACAGTGGACGACTTGAGGACATATTTTGCAAAATTTGGTGAAGTGACCGATGTATTCATCCCACGACCCTTCCGATCATTTGCCTTCGTGACATTTCAGGATGCATTGGTGGCTCAGAGTCTCTGCGGAGAGGACCACATAATCTGTGGATGTAGTGTCCACTTGAGCAGTGCTGCACCAAAAACCAACAGCAAGATGGGTGGGGACCGTCAGGGAGGGTTCCGGGGCAATGACTTTGGGCGAGGTGGTGGAATGGGTATGGGAATGGGGATGCCTCAGGGAGGTGGAGGAGGAGGAGGAGGACAAGGGCAAGGGTGGGGTGGTCAGAGAGGCAACCGACCCCAAGGAAACCCTGGAGGTGGAGACGGAAACGACAACATGGGCATGAATTTCCTGAATATGATGGCAGCTGCACAGGCTGTGCTTAGTGGACAAGGGGGCTGGGGACCACTGGGGATGGGAGGACAGAACAATAGCAATGCAGAACCATCAATGGGGCAGCCTTTTAACCAGAGTTCACCACGTCCTGACAGTGGAAATAACCAGAGGTCATTCAGTGGCTGGGGTGGGGGGTCCTCGGGAGGAGGATCAGGGTCGGGGGGGACACCGTTTGAAGGTGGTAATAACAACAGTGGCGGCAGTGGTTCAACCGGTAGTGGCAGTGGAAACAGTGGGGGCTACAGCAGTAACTGGAGTGGACAGAACAGGTGGAACTAATAGGGTATTGAAAACTGAGAGGGGTGGGGTGCCCATTTTTTAACGAGTGATAAATTTAGGCTTAGATGGATTTTCAACAATTCTCCCATCATTTTCATTATCGCAAACATATTCCATCTTCATCCAATTCATTCTATCAGCGCATATATTTTCATAGGGTTAACATTGCTGGGGAATGTAGAATTAATGAAGTATAAAATTCATATTATATTATAGATACTAGCTTTAGGAAATATGAAAAGGGTTTTATTCATTCATTGAATTTTTTTTTATTTGAAAACAAATATCTAGTTAAAATCAATTATTGAATTATTGTTATCAAAAACATTAATGTGATCATGGGCATAGAAAAATTGAAGCTGATTTTCTGTGTTGAAAGTGGTCGAGTGTACCAATATCATTTCTAGTTTGAGAGCTCACGGATCATGGTATCATTTTGGGGGCGAGAGTTTGTGGGTAATGATGTTATTTTGGGTTGAGAGGGTATGGGTGGCAAATTTATACAGCAACGTTTGAGCATAGAGCAAAAAAAGAGTGCACAGGATTGATCTGCAGACAGAGAGAGCTGGGCAACAATGAGAGGAGGAAAACTAGTAACCTTGAGAGAGAGACATGGCCGACTGAATGACCGACAACAGGTGGAACATGGCTGAGCAGACCGAGTTGAGTCGTGTTTTATCAATAATTGTCTGCCAAAAAACGTTATCTTTCCTTGTGTGTAAAACAGTATGAGCCAGTTTCAAGAAAGTGTGTAAGACTTTGGCTGACAACTGATTGATTGAACAGTGTCTGAATCATTTTAGATGTGCAAAATTTGTGCATTGGATTTTTGCGTTTTGTGCAGTATGTTTGAAATTACAAATTAACTTCAGACATTGAGGAGATTGAATTTTGGAGTGATGAAAGTGTACCGACATTGTTGATGACTTTCACGTGCAAAGCTGAGACTGAAGAATATTTTTGTGCCGGAAAGGGATAGTTTTTACAAAAGTATACATTTCTTTTTAGTTGTAGTTTTTGTTGTGAGTCTTGTGATGTACATGGATGTTGTATGCATGTGTACATATTATACCATGTTGGCGAGAAATGAGCTGTGTTTTGTTGTGTGTACTTCAGCTACCTTAGAGAGAAGGACATCATCAGTATGCTACTAGTATGTACCTACTCATAGAAAAGGTGTATGATCAACTTGAGAGAAAATGTATCTGACTGCATGTACCTGCCGGAGAGAGAAGGGGTATGCACCAACTCTGGAGAGAAGAAGAATTGTAAGTGCACCGGACTGTATGTACCTACTTGAGATATAGGGTATGGTCATTATGTATCCGACTTGTATATATACGTACAGTGGAGAAAACTGATCTTCCTTGGTATATGCCTGCACCAAATCTGTCACCTGATGTAGACAGAAATTAAATTCTGAGGGTGAGTTTTTTTGAGATTCATTTCAAGGCTTTGTGGTGTGTTGAACATCGAAAATCTCACCCTAAGGGTTGACCGATTTTTCCATCTATATCACACAAGATCGATTTTTTTCTCTCTGACACCATCCTACCTTAATATATTCAAGTTAAATAATGGCACATGGCCTGGGATGTGTTACAAAATTGATAACCTGACCTTATTGTTCATTAATTGATCAGAAATGGTGTGTGAGACATGTGTTACCCTTATGGCTCCAGCAAGCAAAAAGAACAAATCTGCTGAAGTTTTGTGATGAGAAAAAAACCTTGACCAAACTCTTAAATACACCTTCATATTGATCATATAAAACCTGATAAGTTGTTAAATATAGATCAATGAAAGCAAATCCCTCCTAAAAAAGAAATCCACATTGTACGTTAAAAGGTTCTGCTTGCTGGGCAGCAGAATTGAAATCTAATTTTCACATTTAAATATTTAGATAAGTACATCTAAGCATGCCACATTCTTTCTTAATTTTAAGCACATTGTATTGAGCTGAGGCAGATCAAGTATGTTTTAAGGATCAATTTATTATGCAATTGAAAAAAAAACTTTTTAGGGGTGGGGGGCTGCTGATTGGTGATACCAATGTAAAATCCATGGTTCAATTGAAAAAAAAAAATCAATCCTTGATAGATATGAAGGTCTATTATAGAGGAGAAAGTTTGTATGTAACAGCATTATCTGGATGTAGGGATATGCAACGAATGAGGAAATTCCTGTGTATGATCGGAAGTTTGTTTCTCATGCAATAAGAAAATATTGGTGTTCTGTTTAACAGTGATATGATTGTCATCAAAAGAGGAAACAAGTTGAGTTAAGTAGTAAGGAAAATATGAACAAGGGTTTGATGAAGGTGATATAAGTTGTGTGTTGGCGATGTTGGTAGTGTGTAATAGTGTTTATGACTATAACAAAGGGTCTGTTTAAAGAGTATGAATGATGTCTATAGATAGATATATCTCCTGTGCCCACCCAAAATATCTTGTGAAAGGGCCTGAACATTCTTGGGCTAATGTAAGCATAGTTTCTATAAAAGGTAACACATTTATTTACAATTGAGAGTGTAGACATACGAGTATGTTGATGAAGAGACAACCATTTCCCATATGAGATTGCCTGGAAGAAGTGTTCTATTTATTAACAAAATGGGAAGGGCTCATGATAGGGTATTGGTGCTGAAACAGAGCGTGTCAACACTAAAACTGTGAGGGTGTCAACATTGTAACTGACTCGACTTTGCAGCAGAGCGTTGTCTATAAAACTGTCTGGGTGTGGAAATGGAAACTCTAAGGGTGTTGACATTGAAAAGGAGCATGCCTTCATTAAAACCATATGTTTGCACGCTGCGAGAATGTTGCCGTTGAAACTGTGGGCGTAAATTTGTCTCAAAATTGAAACTTTCGACATTGAATTTGTATGTGAACGTTGAAACTTGGGAGTTGCTGGCATTTGAACAGAGGAGACATTGCGGCTGCGGTTGATATATGTTTGTATTGATACTGAATCTAGTTGTTGACAAAAGTTGATGTTCACTTTGGCATTGATGTTTCTAGACAGCACTTATAGAGTACATTGTTGACATTCAAATGGAGGGTTGGTGATGATCAAACCCCAAGAGTGACTTTGACGTTAGGAGAATGTTAGAATTTGAACCTGACGCTGTTGATCGATAAAACTCTGTCAATTTCCAATCTTTTTCGAGGGAGAAAGTTAACGATGATGTCCATTTTGATTTCGAAAGATTTTACTTTGAAACCGAGGTCGATGACTTTTGACATTGTGAAAAATAGATAATGAAACAGATGGATATGACTGAAGCTGGCGTTGTTGACATTACAGCTTAATTTGATATTTGACCTTGACCTCATTAGAATGTTGGAATACTGGAGAGGTATCCTGTGTTGTCTTTTCCTTTCGGTCAGCCCATATTATATTTTGAATTCAGCTCAATTTCTCTGATACCACAAGTCACCATGTCATGAAACTTAATGTACAGAAAAGTCTTTATTCAGTATTCACCATCAGGTGGCAGAAAGGTCACTTGTGACTTTAAGAAATTTTCTTCATTGCTGAATTTGGTTAGGCTTTGGTATCGGCCTCATTTATTTGCTTACTTCGGTATCGGCCTCATTTGTTTGTTTAGACTTTAGTATCGGCCTCATTTGTTTGCTTACTTCGGTATCAGCCTCATTTGTTTTTCTAGACTTTGGTATCAGCCTCATTTGTTTGTTTAGACTTTGGTATCGGCCTCATTTGTTTGTCTAGACTTGGGTATCGGCCTCATTTATTTGTCTGGACTTGGGTATCAGCCTCATTTGTTTGTCTAGACTTGGGTATCGGCCTCATTTGTTTGTCTAGACTTGGGTATTGGCCTCATTTGTTTGGTTTGACTTTGGTATCGGCCTCATTTGTTTGTCTAGACTTTGGTATCGGCCTCATTTGTTTGTCTAGACTTTGGTATCAGCCTCATTTGTTTGTCTAGACTTCGGTATCTGCCTCATTTATTTGGTTTGACTTTGAGACCAGTCTCGTTCGTTTGTTTCGACTTTTGGGGACAACTTCGTTCGTTTGGTTAGAGTAAGGTTTCGCATCGTCATCAAAAAGTTAGGTTCCTTCTTTACGATTGCTACACCTTATATGACATATATAACTTCGACCTATGTTTTCAGCCTCACTGACTTTGGTTAGGCTGCGTTTAACTTGATTTCAGTGAAAAAAGGAATGATAGAAATGATGGGGTAAATATTTTCTAGATGACATTGAAATAGAAGCAGTACTCGGACAGCGGAAGAAGGTTGACTATGAAGTTATACATATGTTAAGACAAAAAGTCTACATTAAACTAAGATAAAACGCATCGTAACGTCTATATTGCACTGTTCACAACGTTCATATTAACCCCATGAAAACGTCTACATTGCACTGTTCACAAAGTTAATACGAACCCCATCAACACGTCCACATTGAATTGTTCACAACGTCCACATTAACCCCATTAAAACGTCTACATAACACTGTTCACAAAGTTCATATTAACCCCATCAACACGTCCACATAGAAGTGTTCACAACGTCCACATTAACCCCATTAAAACGTCTACATTGCACTGTTCACAAAGTTGATACGAACCCCATCAACACGTCCACATTGAAGTGTTCACAACGTTCACATTAACCCCATTAAAACGTCTACATAACACTGTTCACAAAGTTCATATTAACCCCATCAACACGTCCACATTGAAGTGTTCACAACGTCCACATTAACCCCATTAAAACGTCTACATTGCACTGTTCACAACGTTCATATTAACCCCATGAAAACGTCTACATTGCACTGTTCACAAAGTTGATACGAACCCCATCAACACGTCCACATTGAAGTGTTCACAACGTTCATATTAACCCCATTAAAACGTCTACATTGCACTGTTCACAACGTCCAGATTACCTCATTAAAACGTCTACTTTGCACTGTACACAAAGTTCATATTAACCCCATTAAAACGTCTACATTGTACTGTTCACAACGTTCATATTAACCTCACGAAAACGTCCACGTTGCACTGTTCACAAAGTCCACATTAACTCCATCAAAACATCCTCATTGACCGAATCCTAACGTCCACATTTAAGTTTTCACAACGTCCACATTGACCCATCACAACGACTGCATTCAACCCATCAAGCGTACATATTTACCCTTCACAACGTTAGCATTAAACTCGCCACTACGTCCACATCAAACCCCTCACAACGTGCGTCTACATTAAACCCATCATTTCATCTACACTCGACCAATCACCACGTCCATATAAAACCAAAAACATCTACATTTAACCAATCACAACGTCTACATTTGACCAATCACAACGTCTACAATCATCTCATTAAAACATCGACATTTAACCCAGAACATCGTCTACATTGAACCCATCAGTGTCTTCATATAACCCAACACAACGCCTACTTTTAACTAATCACGCATTTACATTTAACCAATCTCAACGTCAACAATTGCCCCATCGCAACGTCTAAATATCACCTGTCAAAACGTCCACATATACCAAGCACAAAATGTGCATTAACCTAATCACTATTTCTACATTTTACTCATCACAACGTCTACCTTTAAACCATAACAACGTCTGCTAACCCATGACAACGTCAACATCTAACGCAAGACAACATTTACATTAAACCCTTGACAGCGTCTAAATTTGACCCATCACAATGTCTACATATCGCACATAAAAACATTCACATTAAACTTAATACAACGTCTACATTAAACCAAACCCAGAGTATACTTTTAACCCATCAAAACGTCCACATCTAGCGCATCACAATGTGGAAATTCAACAATGAACTTTCACATTAAACCCATCACAACGTCCACATTTACCCCATCACAACGTCCACATTTACCCATCACAACGTCCACATTTACCCCATCACAAAGTCCACATTTACCCATCACAACGTCCATATTTATCCCATCACAACGTCCACATTTACCCATCACAACGTCCACATTTACCCCATCACAACGTCCACATTTACCCATCACAACGTCCACATTAAACCCATCAAAACGTCTACATTTAACCCATAACAACGT